CACACGAATGAGGCACGAGGGCTGGGATACTGCCAGGTTACCCAAGCCTAGACAGGGGAATTCGAGAGACAGAATTCGGGTTCGAACCAGGGACCTTCCGGTCAGTAAATTCGCGCTCTAACCACTTGGTCCATCTCGCTCCCCTTAAGGTATTCGGGGACGTCAGCAATACCTTCAACAACAACCCGTTAGTTGTTGCCGTGCGTTTTCTCTGAAGTGCAACACAGAGACAAAAATGGAAACAAAGTTACACCAGAAAGTCAGAAGGTGTACCAGATTCGAACCAGAATGAGTAAGTCTTTGTGCGCAAGGCTGGACCGATATCCGGGCAGTATTGGGGTCACCTAGATTGCGGCTACACAAAATTCACACACAATAGATGGTAACTCAGAAGGTAGGGCAGCAAGTCGAAAGATAAGGCATACAGTGAGCGATGCTCATGGATCCGTGCGGAATGATGAGAACAAATCTAGAATATAACATTACGACAGTGTTTAAGGAAAAGTTACATTACTGAATAAGACTTCGAAATAGCATCCAAGTGCCTAGGGTGGTATTCTCACTGAGGTGAAAAAAAGGCGAAAAGAAAATCGCTCAGCTGTAACACCATTTCGGTGCCTAGTTGCCATGCAGCCCATGAGGGCTGAGATACCGCCGGGCCCAAGCCTAGACAAGGGAAGTCGACAGACAGAGGCCAGGTTCGAACCACGAACCTTCCGGCCAATAAATTCACGCTCTAACCACTTGAGCCATCTCGCCCCAACTGAGGTAAAAAGTCGTCTGTGTGATTCGAAGCGGGACTGGCGGGAGCACGTCCGGAAAAATCATAGCAAAACGAATCTTCGTCCAAGTGCCCATCTGACACGTGTCAACTAGAGGACTATCAGAACCGATTAAAGGAACATACTCACGGGTTTATCCAATTTTTTGGAGTTAGTACCTCAAAGACAGCTTTTTGGAAAAATGGCGGCCTTGAGGTAGTAGGTCCACATACCCGAAGAAACTATCAACGAACACTGCGGACCCATAAGCCCCTGAATGACAGTGCCAATTTCCATTTCGCTGATTAACTTACGATCAAAAGGTTCTCAACTCATAGTGCGAACTTTACCTATCCGGAAAGTACGCATCGGCTCGAGATAACTCAGAGGTTAAGGCGTGAGCCTACCCCTTTCTAGGCTTGAGCAACCCGAGAGTATCTCAGGCTTCGTGCTTCCCTCGGTATGGCAGCTAGGCACCGGAAGGGTGCAACAGTTAAACAATCGTTTAACTGTTTTCATATCATTTAGTGAAGTCAGTAAGAGAAGCGCGAGGGTTGGAAGTGGGAGGTATAGGAAAAGATCGCATGCGTGTAATTGCGTTTTTTGCAGTGGGCACTAATCATTCCGGCGTTTCGGTTGTGGCGGAGCGCATGAATAACCCAGATAGAAACGCGTCACATGCTATCCATCGTGTGGTACTATTGGCTGTGGAGCTTAGGAGCAGTAAAATTAACAAGGGCGAAACCGGTCGGGGGCTGTCAACGAATTTTCAGCAACCTTATGCGTAGTGCACCACAAATAACAATAAGTTTGAAGCTGTAGTACCCTTCCGGTGCCTAGCTGCCATGCGACCAGAAAGAACAACGAGGGCTGCGATACTGCTAGGTTGTCCAAGCCTAGACAGGAATGGTCAAGATTTCCGGAGGTAGGGTTCGAACCATGGACTTTCCGGTCAGTTAGCGCCTCTGAGCTGTCTGGGTTCGGAATGCCTTAGTGAAGAGTTGAAAAAGGACGAGGAGAGGTGTGAAGCAATTCCAAGAAGTAGTGTATCCCAGAGGGAGGTATAGCACTGAAATAAACAGATGAGTATCATGTTGTAGTATGGCACGTGACTGAGCCAAGCATCTCGTTGGAACCTCACTCAACACAGGCCCAGTGCACAATGACGGCTAGAGGCTATTTAGCAAGTCTGTCTGAAAAGCGTACACATTCCACAGATCAGTTGTTGGGCACCTCTTCAGTTCCAATCAGAACTAAAATAGATGAAACTTCCATATGTACGAAGTACAGTCGATTCAACTCGAATTCTAACCATTTCCTTGTGAATCCGCCTAACTGTACGGGGGTAGAGAAACTATAGAGGTTTCTGCCGTAGAACCCCGAGGCAAGCGGGTTGACCGAAAAAATGCCCGCGACAAGCGAAACGTTGAGTGAAACAGCTCCATTATTCTACAGCCGGATGATATGTATCAATCCATTCGTCTCCAGTATTCATAGCAGACGCGTACAAGTCACCTAAAATGGTGTCAAGACACGCAGCGGTCTCACACTCGAGTGTTCCCCACTTTGCGTGACCTAGCCCGACCCAACCCATTCTCGGTCATTCGCTGAACAACCAGGTCACCCTGACAACCGTGCATAAATTGGGCGGGCGACAGCACGCAGAAGCAAGGGACACACAATCGAACGGCTGCCAACGTTGACAATGAGTCATCAATTGCGCCCAGTTGCGACGTGGTATGCGATCGATCGATTGCGTGACCAGGCCAAGAAAAACATGGCGTCATGCTGGCCAGTGGTCGTCGCAAATTGGGACACACCGCGTTGCAGTCGTGTGCGCGCACGGCAGTAAGCAAGAAACCAAAACTTTCTCGCTTACGCGCGCGCACGCCATCACTCGAACTCACACCCGCCCTCAACACTCAGGTCACACATTCAATTTGTTCCAGACAAGCGTCAAATAACGCGGATAAAAGCTAGGTGACCGTGGGGGCAGACACGAGATGTCAATTCACGAATGGGTGTGACACTCGTAGTTCTAAGGAACGAAGCGGCATTTTCCCAGTAATGGTGTGCAGGAAATTCCTCACCCAATCATACAAATAACTGGGATTTCACAATAATGCGTTCACTGAGATTTGTGAACGGCACACTGTTTTTTCACACTCCAGCGCAAAGCGAGTGAAACGATACCGAAAATCAAACGTCACTCACGGAGCAGAATGGTTCACCACAATGCGAAACAGTTCTGAAAAACTTCAGGAAACAGGAGAAATGTAGGAGAGGAATCATATGGTGGTGTTCTGAGACTGGGGGCGAGATGGTCCAAGAATTTACTGACCGAAAGGTCCATGAACAAGACAAATGCGAAACAGTTCTGAAAAACTTCAGGAAACAGGAGAAATGTAGGAGAGGAATCATATGGTGGTGTTCTGAGACTGGGGGCGAGATGGTCCAAGAATTTACTGACCGAAAGGTCCATGGTTCGAACAAGACATCGACCTCTCGACTTCCCCTGTTTAGGCTTGGGCGACCTGACAGTATCCCAGCCCTCGTGCTTCCTTCGGAAAGCGTGGCAGTTGGGCACCGAAAGGGTGCTACAGCTGAGTGATTTCCTGAGATTGAGGCACAAGGAGCGCCCTAAAACGTTCTTCTGGCTGGGATGTTCTACTCGCGAGTTTAAATCTCATACCATATTCACTACCTGGATGTTGCTAGGCTTCGTCCGTGCGACAAGGACCAACTTCTCTCAATCCAACTGCAGTTGTTTCGAGTTGACGACACGGAATTCTGCACATCGGTGACGGTGAATTAACTTTAGTTAAAATAATCAGGTCAGACGCACGCGTGTCAAAAAAACGGTTGGCAGTATGCCTGAAACTAACAGCACAACTGCGGACGATTCTGCGAACGCCACATTGCCCCCCGGATGGATTAGTGCGGATTCGCATGACCTCGTGGTGAAGAGGCGGCTCGTGCAGCTTATACAGACAGCTACGGAGCGATAAATAACATGTGTAGTCTGTTCGTCTACGGGTGAAATGTGTCACCGATGCACCGTACAAAGAGTGACCTTGAAAGTATCGATTGGTCGAACTAGATACAGGAGTCGGAAAACAATTTCCACTTTTTTCCCGTGTACTAAACGGACAGTGAACTTTAGCGCGAAACCGTCCCAATGCGGTTCCGTGTACTAGATAGAACTGAACTGCAAACACAACAGGGACTACAAGTGGTTGACGCAGAATGCGCACAAAACTGATCCTGTACCTGGACAGAACCATACGTTCAAGCAGGACGAGACATTATAACATCCAGTTAGGTGTCGCCCTTGGGACCTCGAGCCTTGGTGCAAATCAGTCGCTCAACAAAGCGGAAGACGAACGGTGATCCGTGATGCTAAGGGGTGGAACTGTGTTTTCAAACATGGGCTGTTGGTTTCTAAGGTGAGAGTTTTCGCTGAATTCACAGGTCCCAAAGACTAGACTTAATCTTTTACTTCGAGAAAGCTCAATCTCGTAGAGCCAGGATGCAATGTACATCTGGTTCAGACCTATCGTGACTCATGAGCAAACGCATTAGTGTCATGAAATAGTTTACCTAGCTATAAACCCTGGTCTCAGACTATTTATATAAAAAGTGACAATGCATAGAGTCACCTAGGAATGGCGTTATCGAGGATTCCGGGACGGACAAAGTTCGAATTTGGACCGAGGGCTAGAAGTTGAAAACGCAGTGGACAGAAAAGGATGACGGGGGGGGGTTGAGCATCTGGTGGGACACATGGACAAAGGTTTCTAAAAGTGGCATAATGCTCGCTTAGCACAGGGTTGACAAATTCGTTGCATTCGGAGACAATTTAGGCGCCGTACAATGAGGCGGTAGTAAAAGCTTCCAGCTATAGCACCCTTTCAGTGCCACACGAAGGAGGCACGAGGGCTGGGATACTGCCAAGTTGCCCAAGCCTAGACAGGGGAAGTCGAGAGGCAGAGGTCGGGTTCGAACAGCAGACCTTTCGGTCAGCAAATTCGCACTCTAATCACTTGAGCCATCTCGCGGTAGTACTCCCTCACACACACACAACGTACTGGTTCGAACGAAATAAGACAGTCTACTGCAAGAAACAAAACTCCACAGTCGGAGGCAAGACCACGTTCCAATAGTCTCTGCGACAGGAATTGACTAGTCCTCTTCCAGGACAACCGAATTCGTCTTTTCTACGCCCTTCAGGCTTTCCATTTTTTTAACCGTGAGTATGCCTCTACGAGGTGTTTTATGTATCGTTCATGGGATTTACCACACACCAGACATTGAGCAGTTTGTATTCTTAATAGAAGTACATTTGTCAATAGAGCAGTGCCGAGGAACTGTATCGCTGCTTCGAAAGAAAGATCACAAAGGAAATGGAGGCTCGCGAACAGTAGAAACCCTTCCACGGAAGGTGGGATGAAAACGTAGAAAAAACGACAGCCACGCCGGCGATGTGGAGGAGAGAACTTACCACAACTTCGCCGTTTACCACTCGACGTGTACAGTCGCGCAGGTCGTAGACAGGGACCGACCCCTGATAGGAACGTGGAGGGTCGATGTTCGGAGACTGGGTGGAAGGAGTGGATGAGTACGGTCCGGCACCGACCGGGGAGCGTGGCTTCGGTGACACGATGGAGTCCGTGACGATCGGACTCACAGAGTCCTGCGTGCTCGATTGTGTCTGCGTAGTGCTGGTGTTCACAATGCTTGGTTTTTTCACCGGACTGATGGGTGCGGCCGTAGACCCGATGACTAGACCAGGCAACGGAACAGCTCCAGGCGGGGGAAGAGGAGATCTGGGAGAGGGGGACTGTGCATTCGTCTTTTGTGGTAATTCCTCTTCGTGACGCTCGACAGCACGTGCGGCACCGACAGCGGCAGCAGCGTGTCCAATCTAGGAGGAGATAAGCACACGGGGGTTGATTCCACGAAGTGAATGCCTAGACAGTGTGTTTGAAAGGCTACGGAAGCAACTGTCTCAAAGGAGACTTACCTTCATTTGTTGCTGCAACACGGATGGATCGATGTACGACCATCCTTTGACCTTGCGCTGTGAAAGGAAGTGACATTGACGAGTAAACCTTCACGAAAAATGCAATGTACTAATCGGTCGAATGAGAAATGCCAGACAGGAACAAAATACCAGGACAGAAACCCTTACCTCAGGTCCCTTCCGCCGAGTACGCTTCAAGTAGTTCGCGGGTGTGCAACACACTGGAGTCCAATCGGGCTAGACAGACAGGAAGAAGGAAGGACATCGAATTGATTAAGTCTACCCCAGGCGAAAACTGACAGTATTCTCCACTACATCCACAAACGATTCATCAATTCACTGGCGTTCGCATCAACAAGGGAGTTTGGTTTTATTCAAAGCATGCAAAGGCAGCGAAATGCGTTCAAGTCACGCAACCTGTTGAAAATCGATAAACTGGTACACACTCGAATAAGGCAGCAAAGGATAACGGGCGCAGAAAACAAACTAAGATGGAAAAAGTATTCACGGAACACCTGTGGCCTAGATACAAGTCGCGGACGATGGGAAACTCTGAAGGAGAACCAAAGAATTTAGGCAAATCACTAGAAAAGTTCGACAATGCAAGACTCTTCCGTTCCCAGCCAATGGATTTCACAATCAGCGGCGAACGAAATTATCCGCCAAGTAAATCAACATTCGGCAAACAGATCCCGCGGCATGACGCCCCAGAAACAATTGTCGTATACTCAAACCACAGTTGACAAGATATTTGAGTGCTCAAAGAAATCGTGTAGGATCAACCGCTACCGTTATTTCTACACACCTATCCCCCCGCAGACTTCAGCATGTCAATCCCATAGAGGGGCATCCAGTCCCACGCCAAACGGACGAGGAAAACGAGCCGGGTCGGCTGTGGTCGACATTTGCTTCTCCGAAAACCGTCAGACTTCCTGCTTACTGCTAATTCGGGAGATACAGCCACAACTCGATTGAACAGCCGTGTGCAGTAGGTGGAATTCCGATAAGTGTTCATAGAATGACAGTGGGAATGTAGTGAACTTTCGAAAAACTATGTTTGATTTGCACCGAACAGTAACAGACGGACAAAATTGTGAGAACCACAGGGTTGTTCTGGTGTATCATCATTCCAAATAAGGGACGTAGGTGGAATCCACAAACAAATTTCGAACACGATGAAATGTCAGCTGAACTGAAAGTTGAAGATCAGTCGCTGACCATCATGCGAAATTTGTATCGGTAATCTGGTTGTCGAATTTTTGACGAAAAGACTGAGGTAGTCAGGGTGGATTTGAACATGAGGATTCACGCTAAATGAACTTTAGTTAACATTTGGACCTTGAAAAAAAGTAGATCACCATTGGGACCTTTGCAATTGTCAGGTTTGGCAATAAATGAGTAGTATAGTCCAGAAAGCATCGGAGTTGGCAGCATTCCCCAAAATAAAAAAATTTAACTTGCTCACAAAAGTACACTTTTCCTCGACGTGGTCTAAAGAGTTCAACACACTAGTGAGAGAGTTACCTGTGGGAGGAACTGGCACCCCAAAAATGATACAAAGCATATTGTGGACGTACTGAGAAAATTACTGAAGTTTTGGATGAGAAGTCGACAGCGAAACTAGCGAAAAGTAGAAACGGTTTTCCGGAATATTTGTCCAGCTATTCGGATCAGATTTTTCTAGCAAAAACGATTACCAATGGAGGGCGGCCAACAATTAACGGAGCAATAGTCTACTGAATCAAACCGTTTGAGAACTGAAGACAAAAACTGTCTAGACAAACAGAGAAGACAACCACGGAGGGTAGGTGACTGTATAACTGTCTGAACAACACTCAGTACGCGTAATGAATGGGTTCTTGTAGATTCCAGTCGACGGTTTGTAGTGCTATCCTGGATATCTGGAGAGGGGAGGTGTTCGCTGAATGACAATTTTCAGAGCGAAATGTTCATTGACTGTATGCAAACGAATCGGTGGAAGCATTAGTCGGGTGTTCGCTGAATGGCAATTTTCAGAGCGAAATGTTCATTGGCTGTATGCAAACGAATCGGTGGAAGCACTAGTTAGTCTGACCGAATACCAGCTACACACAACACCAGCAACACAACCCAGTGCATTTCGGTAACCTGGATGGATGACTCAGAGATAAACGATAAACATCAATCTGGTGGAAACTAGGATCCAATGTACACGGACGGTGCAATGATCGACGGAACCAATCAATCCGGACAAACGTAAATATATAAGAACAATCGATAGTGAAAACTGGACCGATGTAGTGACGATGCAAACTAACGAGCCAAACGTCAATCGAGCGATAAGCGTGCGTACATCACCCAGCTGCGCCCATCATGTCAGCTGTCAGTTCACACACTAACTAGCAAGACGATGTGAGATATCATTAACCGGTCTGGGGACGCTTGAAACGCCGGTTCCAAAGTGACCGCCACGCGAATTATCACGTTTTGGAAACCCATAAATAGCCGGTCGCTGATAAGGCAATTGGGAGAGCAGTCAGCAGAATTCGTATTAGAACCATTCGACCAGACTGAAAGTCGCATTGCCCAAAAGCCGAACGGTGGTGAGAAACGGCTCTTAATGAAACGAGTGGTGTTTGGCTGTCGATCATGCCAAGTGCAAATCGTTAAATGCATGCTGAAAAAAAAACAGTACACACAGGGGCTGATGAGTTCGATCGTAACTAAGGACACGAACCTGAGGAGCCGCAAGATCGGAGTAGTGCATGCCGAGTAGTACATTACGTAGCTTGATTTTGGGAGGTTCAGCAGCCTCAAATCGCACGCAGCTGTTCATCCGCTCAAATTCGATTGCTCAGCTAATAAAATTCTGGACCGTTTGATGAACAGCGTCTCAATATTCGCTTCGTAGAAATACGTTTTGAATTTTTAGACAAGCCTCTTGGTAGGAGATGGCATGATTAAGAAAGGCCCGTCTCTTTTGGAAGGCGAGCAACAGCAACACAGGTGGCATGTGGTGGTCGCATCCCTTTCCACAAACGAGTTCGTGTCACCAGTTGTAATGAGGTAGGGCACTAATTGTAACGCAGGTGCCAACCTACACAAAGGTGACTGGTTTTTGATGGACATATCGAAAAAACCGAATATTAAGGAAGCTGACTGGCAAAAGAAGGCACCCGAAAACTCACTCCAGGGTAGAATTGGAATCGTTTGTCACCGAAGTTGAACTCCACAGTGGAGTTTAACAGCGACACCGTGGGGAAGAATGCCGCGGCGGTGGCGGACTGAAACAATTCCGGTGGTATGTGGTACGCTTCGCCAAAATCGATACCATTCTTAGACCATTTGACCGTGTGTTCAATCGTGTCTAGGAAGCACCCGATCACATCGTCCTTGGTAAATGCCTGTGGGAACAGCATGCGTGAAGAAAGGAAAAAGGGTGATGAAATGCACATAAAAAACACGCACAGCATCAATCGTTGCCCAGGCAACCATGACGACACCCAAATCGATAGTAGCTGGGCAGAAAGTAGTTGTTGTCTGGCTATCACAACCCCCCGGTTTGTTGTTCGATCTCCATTCGTCAGGATCATACACCTCCCCCAGCGCCATCAAAGTATGCAATTACCCGTACGAACACCAGGGACACACGGAATACACGCGCGAACAAATGGTGATGGGGCCACGGGTAAAATCATGGGGAATTGGACAGAAAGTTATACTGTTGACAATAGACTAGTTGGTTAATATGATGAGATTAAAGCATGCCTGTCGATAAAAGCCATCAGTACAGAGAGTTCCAGGTAAGCCAGACAAAGTATGAACACAACCACGAAACGTAGTAAGTTGTATGTGTGCGTGCGTTTCGATGAATGTTCCAAGGAGAGCGTGTCAGACAATTCATAGGGTTGTTTACCCCAGTTGGAGTAAACGAAATGTACGCGACCAAACGGGGTATTGCAACTGTAAGGCAGACTATCGTATGAAAAACTGATTCCACGTAACGGCATGCTTGATACAGGCACTCTCTGGAGTATAGGTCCATCTTAGAAGCAGCGATGTGTGTGTGTGTGTGTCATTATCAGGGTTGTGTTTGTTCGAGGTGGGTAGACCACCACATGTAAATCGAATGTGGGCCTGGGTGATGATATGTGTGACATGCCGGCCACGATTCTCATTGTCAAAAGATCTCACGGATTAAACATGGTTTCGATCCAGCCACATACCACAAAGAGACCAGTGCAGTAGGTCGCATCGGCTCTCGTTCCTGTTGATGATAATAGAGACGACAGTGCGACCTAATCTGAGGATGATGCATGGAGACAGCTAGCAGAAACGCGCGCCAATTCCCTAAGCGATTCGTAAAAAATGGTGAATAGACAGTCGTGATGCACAGCTGTCTGCCGTGGAAGTTTATGAACCAACAAACTAGTTAAAGGCTTTTCATAAAGGAAACTACTCACAAGGTTGCTGAAAACTCTTCGACAGCCCACGACCGGTTTCGCCCCTCTTGGGGCTCGTCAGGCAGGCGCAGTCCCCGAGTTTCCGTCAACCTTATGATCTACTTGAAACCAAATTGGACCGTTTTCGAGAAATACACTCATTTGCAAATCAATTTGGTTTTCACGAGAGACTCAATTGAATCTCTCGTTTATGATGTCCATCCATCGAGATGTGCACCACGTGTGATCCGAACAATGTGGCAATAATCACCGAGCGTGTGGCAGATTCAAACGAGTGAAGTTGAAAGGTCGAAGTGAAAATAATCGACAAGGGTGGTGATTCACACACTAAGGAAGGATCTAAACTGACAGACCACAGTTCAATTTGAGCGGAACTACTGAAAGACAAAGGCGCAGTGGCAAACAGACCGTTGTTGACGAAATAAATTCGTCCAGTGATCGAGCGTACACGCAGAATTTCAGGCGTCGTGTGTGACTGCATTTGTCCCGTCTTATTAACGGTAACTCTTCCGAAAACTTCACCCACAGAGCATCTCAGAGTGAGCTTTCGTAGGTTTCATTACCTTGTGGAAAACACGAAGGTTTTCTACTGCCAGAAAGTGAGCTCATTTCGCGGGTTTATGGGTAAGACTTTTGAGCGTTTGGCTCAAGGCAGCGGTGGTTGAAGTGAAAACACCAAAGCCGTCTGAGTTTGGACGCACAATGTGCTGTAGGTACGACCTCCGACCCATCAGTTTCAAAGCCAGGATACGGTTTGTCAAACCTCCATCGACTGACGAATCTGGCATGAAAAACTTTGTGGACGGACGCTGCACTGGTGTCCTTCAGTCATACCACGATGGTCTGTTCGTAACGGAGGACGCTGACGACTAATCCTATCGTGTTGCTACGCGGATGCTAACGCCAGTGGTTCGCAGTCTTTCTCGTATCGCGGTCCCTTTTGCTGGCTGTTGATCACCTGACAAAAAGTCAACTAGCGTATCCGAGCTACCAGTTCTTGGGTACACTGTCGTAATCCAACACGATGTCTACTACTAGGTTATAAGCTCAACATAGCTCAGTGGTTAAGATCCGTGGATCGAACCCAACCTCGGCATCTCGATTGCTCTTGTCTAGGCGTCGGAAACCCGGCAGTATCTAAGCCCTCGTGCTTATCTCGGGTGGCGATTCAACACAACTAAAACGACCAGCGCTGAAGCAGTGACCAGTCAAAGGGGCGTTCCACGAGTCTGTTATTCTCCAGCCAACACAGAATGGCTGGATAGACAAGAAAATGTACTGAATTTCCCACTTCAAAACGCGCAGTTCTCAAACAAGGAAGGAAGACCAGTGAACCAGATTGGTATCCTAATTTCGGGTTCTATGAGCAAACTGACGGTATATTCTAACCTGAAAAACTGGTTTTGCCGTTCTCCGAGTCGGATCGATGATTCCGCCCAACGGAAGTTGGAAAAACGACTTGGCTAAGTCCCGAAAAATCCGTCAACTTTTTATCTTCCGGAATTTAGGTACACTCAGATCAAAACGGAACTAATTCAGATGTGCCTGGGAAATCAGTGTTCAGTTGTCTCCGATGGACTGGTCATGACCGACATACAAAGTCCACACTCGCGAAGAGAAACTCGCGACAGAATTGGCCACATCTGAATATCAGGACGGAGTTTCCACAAAGCAAATCACGTATCACCAGACGATTAGTCTGCTGGTTCACGCACTTGTCACGCGCGGGACAAAGCGAATCAGAGATAGCTCAAGTGTCGTTATCTCAGGTTGGTAAACATCGGGTTAGGTAACTAGTCAATCCTAGTGGCGATTATTCGTTCCACAAAATTCAGACTAACTAACCTCAACATCGTTGTCTTTCGAATAGAGACTTGATCCGTACATCTTAATCATCCTCGCTGGGAATTGTCTGCAGTGCACAACCGAAGAAACTCCGGCCAGTGGGTGAACACTTGGCCGTTTTGCCACAAGTGGCAAACCAGCAGAGATCTTAGCTCTCACACACGGGCAGAACATCCTTCAACCACGGTCACCAATTGACCGATTGCTTTTCATCGGTAAATTGAGCCGGACCCTTCGATGGGGAATTCTTCCCAATATCTTATCCAAGCTCGAATATCTTGGCAGTGTCCTGCCTACCGAAAAACATACGCTCATGCCCCCCCAGTCCGGCTGTCGAAATTTTCAGCAACTTTATAAGTAGTGTGTTACGTCGGGACAGGATGGCAACTTATTCTCGCACATAACTAACCTACAGAGCTTGCCGGAAGCGGAAGTTTCCACCGCATTTTGAGGTGCACAGAATTGACGTCGCTTTGTGACACACACATGTGATCCACATCAGCTTTTTTGGGACAACCGGCCCGATCATTAAAAAATAAATCGTTCAGCTGTAGCACCCTTCCGGTGCTTAGCTGTCATGCCACCCGAAGGTTGCACGAGGGCTGGCATACTGCCAGGTTGCCCAAGCCTAGACAGGGGAAGTCGAGAGGTAGAGGTCGGGTTCGAACCACGGACCTTCCGGTCAGTAAATTCGCGCTCTTAACCACTTGGACCATCTCGGCCCAGTCATACGCAAAAAACATGATCAATGCTCTTATTTCGGTTACGAGTAATGGAAGATACAGGTAGGAGTCACTAGAGAAATTCAACGATATACTCAGGTAACTGACGCAGAAGATTATGCACGGTCAGGTTGAAACGAGATACAGAAGAACACTCTGCTGTACCTGCACAAGCTGGTTTCGAATACTGTTAGCTGCTTGAATAAAAGGAATCATCGTAACCCCGGGCCAAACGCTTCACCGAGAACCATTGTATCAGGTGATCCCTTAGTCTCCAGAAACGTGTGTATCAAGCTACAGTATGGACTGTTATGTTGTATGGCTGTGAGACTTGGCCTATTCGAGCAGCGGACCTAAGACGTCTTCAGGTGTTTGACAATCGTTGTCTCAGAACTATAGCTCGTGTGGTTTGGTGTCGGTGAATCTGTAACGAGGCAGTTAGAAAGCGCGTTTTCGGTTGTGTAACCGGTACTTCCATTGAAGAATGTGTCCAGCACCAGAAGCTGCGTTGGTTGGGACATGTGTTGCGTATACCGAACCATCGTTTGCCGGAGGGAGTGCTGTTTTCCGGGTCCAAATCAGAGTGGTGGAAGCTTTGGCTTGTAGAGGGGCATGAAAGTGACTATGAAAGTTTGGGCGCCGTCAGTGGGAGCTGCCTTCCTGGGTGGGAACTACGTGATCTCCACTGCTCCTGGTTGGAGACGCTACAAGATATGGCTGCCAACCGACGTCAATGGCGTTCTTGTTGTCAGTTTCTATCCAGATTGCCTGAATGAGTGTCTGGAGGTGTAGGCACCTCGAAATGATTCTGGTAAGCTATCCACCTTTACTCTTCTTTTACAATAAGGTTTTCAAATAAATCATGGTTGTACGGCAGTGAAGCATTGGTATTGAACACTAATGTCATGCATTCGATGATGATGATGAGGTTATCCAGGATCCACGAAAGTGGACCATCCACTTCGTGATAGTACGTGTCAGCGAGTGAGACGAAATTGTCAACTAGGATGATTGTGGCTGGTTGAGAAACCTGTAGAATTCACGTTCACATCACTCTGGTGTCAACGGGATTATCAAAGAAAGGAACCACTAGACTCCAGCTTCGCTCTCATTAGAGCTCATCAGCAGTTCATGACCTAGAATGTGTCAGGGTTCGAACTCTGGATATGTGACATGTGAGGCGAGGGTAATATCCCTGGACCACCAACGCACGCTGTGCGAATCTTGTTTGATCAGGCGAACGTGTGCATTCAAAACGAATCCCAGGAAGTGCATCATGAGTGTTGGTGAAAATCTGCATTCGCAGACAGTCCCGAATAAGTATGTGCCAGTAAACACGGATTCCAGTATAAATTTTTCGTCCTAAAGGTTAAAAAATAGTCCAGCAGTCTACTCACCTCTCCATAGTTTTCAATCTCATCGCAATGCATCCGTTTACCCTGCTGGCCGTTCAAGCCGAAGCCGTCATTGTCCGCGCCATAACCAAATCCGAATCGATCGGTTCCCAGGTTAAGACTGGCATCTTCAGTCGACCAGCCGATACGACAGAGCCCGGTATCTTCTAGGGGCGTTGCCTCGAAGTAGAATCTACCCGGTCCTCGAATGCCCTGGTGAAACGAACGGAAAAAGGGAAGTATAACCGGAAATGAGTGGGAAATATGCAAGTTGGGGAGGCTTAGCAGCGAGAACGTAGACGTCAATACAGTCGCCGGGTACAATAAACCGAGAACAAGGCGTTTTATGTCTCGGGTTGGAGGTGTGAAGTGAAGTATTGCTGAATGATTGGCGGAAACGCCCAGGTTGTGTGGTTTGTGGTAGTAAGGACACTCAAGGTAAGTTGGTGACGCATCCCCAAAAACGACTGTTGCGCGCAATCTACCACAAGAGCTTGATGACAGGTGAACACCAATCAGACACACCCATAGATAAGGCAGGGAAGCGGGGCAAATTGATTTGTCCAGTTCCCAAGAGGGAAAGCCACCGCCAACAAATTAGCTTACCCACATGTGTGAAAACGATGCAGTGGTGATGAAGTAGAGGAGACGAGTATATCTGTCAATCAGGTTATTAATATGGATGGAGAACAATCGTGAAATGTTGGATGCCAAGACAAATATTCTGCGTCCGCTGACGCAGAAGCTGTTAGGGAAGTCGTTAATCGATAAAACCAGTCAGCACGTGACCACGCGATGCGGATTCCGTGACAGAAGGGTGAATGGCGCTATATCCAGTCTAAGTGGGAGCTACTCACGGCCGTAAGGCTACTGGCCCAGGTACGGCGTTCCAAATTCTCCCGAGGTCTGTGAGATGATTCCCAAACGGACTGAAACAGCTGCACGGTGTTGACCATCTTTTCAGCATGAATTGGCTTCATTTAAAGGATGAATTCTCCAGTGAAATTCCAGTCATCTCCCAACACTACCAGTGAAAAAAAGGCGTTCTCTGAGGAGTTACTCATTAGAAAATGCCAACTGACCAAATACAGGCTATTGGAGAGGGAAGCAAAACTCTCATCTTATTTGCAAAAACTGAACATGCATCTTCTTTTGAACGCGCCTTCCTGAACTTTCCTGGATGTTCATTGACTGTTGCTCAAATCCAAGCAAATGTTACAAAGCGACTCCCCAAATTTCGCAATAGATCTCCCTTTTCAAGAGACGCAAAGCGAATTTACAAGAAAACATACTACTTGCATGCCTCCCCATCAGTAGTATCACTGTTACACCAGCAGTGCACGGCTTGCTACGCATCCATAGTTGCAGTTTTCGTCTACAAAAATAACCTGGGAGAGAGGAACGGTCTAGAGATCGTGCGCCGGCAAGCAAGTGATTAAAAAAACATCAGGATCACGCTCATAAAGGTGGCTCTCACTTGATTCGACCGGCAGCCTTGCCAGCCATGGGCCCAGTGGGCTTGGGCTTTGCTACCATCCGGAGAAATGTCCAGCGCGGCCGAAGCATCATACGGGTTCATTCTCCATCCGGTAATCCGATTCGGAACTTCACTATCATCTGAAACCTGTGCGACCGGAATGAATGGACCTTGTGGTGGGTACTCCAGAGCCTGGTCACCGAAATTGAACATAATGCGCGAGTCCTTCAAACTAGCGGCTAGACAGCGAGTGTGGAAAGAAACTTTGGCGTTAGCTCGGTCAGTGCACATAAGATCTGTAGTAAATGATGATACAAGGCCACTGGGACCAGGACTTTCAAAGGACTAAGAAACAAACAAAGGCCAGATGATAAACGTGCCGAAAGAGAACGGATAACGATTGGAGGCATCTTAACATCCGCAGTTACAATCCAGGGGCCAGTGTGCTCGGACAGCGCCATTCCCTCAGAAACGTACAAACCGATTGCTCCCCACGCATGCGTCCCAAGCAACCTAAGTATCTGTAGATACGGTAACAGCCAATGTGTAATCCCGACACAAACCAGACTAAGAAACCAGACTACAGAAGACAACACTGGGAAACCACTGACCGTTCCGTGATATGCACATCTTCGAATACGGAACCAAAGTGGGTGCTCGCAAAGTCTGAACGTAGAAGCAGTGATGCAGGAGAGTCTTGCCTTGCGAACCAGAGGTTAAATCCTACTACATCCCCGAACACTTGCCACAATAATGAAGAAACGCAGTAAACGGTTAGGTCATTACAATTATTATTAATGCTATTAGTATTTATGAAAATTCTCTGTTGGCAGCAAAACTTCCTTACAACAAGCGTAGGAAATAATTGCAGTCCAAACTGAGGGTTTGCCGCATAAAAAGTTGTAGTAATAATAAAAATGATAATAATAATAAATAATAATCGTTTATGGTCGTTGGTTTGTTCGCTGAGCTGGGCAATTTGATTGCAAACGTTTCGTCACCAATCAAGGAACACAACACGGCCGCCAGGAGACATGACCCCCCATTGATTATCATTAATATCTATACACGAAGAGTTGGAAAGAATGCTACCAGTTTAATCTTGGAAACGCAAGAAAATTGGAACAAGGAGACAGGAGACACGGAAGGGAATTTCTGGAAGCATGGTACTCCTCGGCGTATTCGATCAACCAGTGCATCGAACTGGATCCAATTTACGCACCTCGACGCGCGAAGGATCAACACCTCAATCGGAGCACTGAAGGAGGACCGAATATTGGATTCACAAACAAGGGAACAAGGAATTCCTTGGGGTCGAATAAATAAACATCACAAGTCGGAACTTGGAAGGGAAAAGGACAAAGGTCACTACAGCAAGGTCACTACAAGGGACTAGTGACCAAGACCAATGGGTGGTCTCTCTCTCAGTGAGCCCCGGGGAATTGTTGGAGATGTCAGTATCCCCCAAAACGGCTTATTTTTCGAGTTATTGCCAAATTATTTTTCAAAAAGTTTGAATTTTTGAATTTCGCGCTTTTTCCGCCATGTTGCACTCAATCCAAAAAGACCACAATATATATATTGTTTGCCTTTGGTTGAGGCAGTAAAAGCCCTCTTCTGAAGGTCTGGTCTTCTTCTCTCTTTGCCCTAGGAGTGGTTGAGCTCGCGTCATATTTGGGGATTTGTGCGCTCGTTCTCAGGTCACGTATAGCCGTTGATCGTACCCGATTCCGATACATATCAGAAATACAGTTTTGCTGCGAGTGAAATAACAGCAGAACAGGTTGAGGAACTAGAAAGAATCCAAGTGCAATCGCACAGCTAGACAGTCCTGATATTCCAGGCAGCTGGAAAACGGTTTTAAGGTACAAAGAGGGCGGCGAAGAGCGTGAAGACGTTTTTGTTTTTGTTCTCTTTTTCCAACGCATCACAGCTGGACGGAAAATGCCACTTTACGTTGACCATTTTCTCGGACAGGGATTCAGTAGAACCAGCGCAGCGGCAAAGCGATGCACGCATTATCTCCGTCCCAGCCGAAGCTCTTTGAAACCGAAAAGGATAGGTCATAAATATTCGGACATCGGTTGACCAAACGACCAGGCAAGTGGTTAGTCCACTGTGGCCACGCCGTTTTCGAAAAAGAGACTACACATACATCGCTTGCTAATGCACTGTAGCGCGCCGCGTAGGGGGGGGGATACAGCCGGAAGGCCCCCAGTTCGCGCGCCGCGTAGGGGGGGGGATACAGCCGGAAGGCCACCCAGTTCGCCACCTGACAACCAAAAGAATAGCTACCGGATGGGGAATTGAAAGGAATCGAAAGGGAAACAATTGTCGTGGGAAAGGAAGGCGGTGTGACGACCTGATCGACCGGTTTTACCAAGGTGACAACAGTCAGGTGAGACAGAACGCGTTCACACGGCTCTACTGTAATCCAGTACGCAACAACGATGAGACAGTGATGAAGGCCAGAAAACTCGTTTGTCAAAGATTAGGAAGAGAATGGGTAGCTTACAAGTCAGCAGTTAGTCGTAGGGTCACGTGATTTCAGGTGATGGTGCCAAACAGAATTCGATTTGTATGAGATGGAAATACAGGTAGGACATCGAGTTTGACAAAACAATAAGTGGAATGTCAACGGAGGTGAAAGAACCATATTACTTAGCCTTCCAAAATATTTTGCAATGTCACGTGATACCTACCGAGGGAGAGCACATTCAATATTAAGAGGGTTGCTAAATTTAGATGGAGATGGGCTGCATGACGTGAACCTAAACGATGAAAGCGGAATCAGGTTTTCCACTAAATGGAATAACCGTGGGCAACACGGCCAGAATTATGCATATATTGGCCATGCGCATCGCACTCAGCAGAGTTCAAAATGCATGATTAGCACAGAGTAGATACACCGAACACACATCATAACACACAAGACTATCGGTTACGGAACGGAAGCTACTCTGGTGAGACACCCTACCAGCGAGAGAAACACAGCGAGGAAATTCCTTTAACAACGTTGTTGGCAGGCAGACTCACATGACGTAACAGGACCTGACAAGAGTACAGATTGCACTGTGAGGCAGCGCGTTAGCGTCGATTTTATGCGTGGGGTTTCCGATTTGCGATTGGTGGTCTTGGATTTCGGGCATTTTGTCTCTTCAAATGGTGACGCAACCGGACACAGAACGCGAGATACCCATAACTTTGATCTGTATGATTTTCCAAACACGCATAAATGCCAATCCGGGAGCACGCAGACCGCTACGAAGAGACTGGATCCTACCATGGTGTGGCGGTTTGTGTACCTCGGCGACCCATTGAGCTATAAGGAAAGGTGTCCGTGCGGCACCCAGAAGGTCTTTCATACCAAGTTGGTCAATGCTTAGGGGTCTGAACAACATAGTCTCCTGGCCGTCCAGGACTTTCCCCGCCAAACCCTGCGGGGTTTGCGGTATGGTTTTTGAGCCAATGGCTTTGGTTGGGGACACTAACGGTCCTCCTGTCTATGTGTCGGTGCCCTGGCAGTAGCTCAACCCACGTGTACACATCGATTTTACACATAAACTCCTGCCACATCGGTCATCGCATGGTGCAGAGCGGTGAAGCGAAAACAAGCTATTGCCGACGCCTCCCATCTTTCTCTTTCACATACTTTTTCTAATCCCTCTACCCAGCCAATAATAACTCTCCCCTTGTAGGCCCAGCACTTAGGACTGATGACTCCGTCCGTCCTGCATCCGTTTTGCAGGTAACATCGCATGGCGCTGACATCCTCAGGCATCTCGGCGCCCGGTCTGTCTAGCCGCCTTCAATGTCCGCACTCTGAATCAAGCAGGGCAACAAGCGTTCTTCCTTTCACAACGCACTCGTTCGACACTGAAGGGTGTTCGGTATGAGAAATAAGAATTCAAGATGAAAGCACAGTGGTTAAGCTAACCGCTTCACCAAAATTCACTCGTTTCCGACTGCACACCCCTGGTGATTCAGAGGTCGCTGCAGCAGGATGTGCAGAGGTTGGTATCATTTTAAGTCACCGGGCGGAAGGATCTTTGCTCGACTGGATACCCGTTGATAGTAGCCTGTGTGCATTTCATCTGGCAACATCTGTGAAGAGTCTCACAAGTTGATCATAATCATGATCTGTTCGGGGGCGAGACGGCCCAAGTGGTAAAAGCGCGAATTTACTGACCGGAAGGTCCGTGGTTCGAATCCCACCTCCGCCTCTCGACTTCCCCTGTCTAGGCTTGGGCGACCTGGCAGTATCCCAGCCCTCGTGCTTCCTTCGGGTGGCATGGCAGCTAGGCACCGGAAGAGTGCTACAGCTGAACGGTTAGGCATGATCTGTTCGAAGGCCTTACGGTGAATGAGTGTTTGGAGGTGTAAGCACCTCGAAATGATTGTAGTAAGCTAGCACTCGGTACATTCCCCGTCACAATAAGGGCTTCAAGTTATTCATTTTTATACGGCTGCCGAGGGGGATGATGATCATAATGAGCAAGAAAGAGAACTTCAGGCTACAGACGGTATTTCACTCAGAATGCACCCAGCATCGCAAGCTGAGGTAGCTGTGTCGGGTTACGCATACCGAGACGAGGGCTATTTTGGATACCCAATTTGGATTGGCGGGAATCTAGAGGTGGACAGACTTTGACACAGTAGAAGCGAGTGGACGTTGTCACGTGCCGTTAGTTCGCCTTCCAGCATGTAGTCCACGTGTCCCCCGCCCCTATACTTAGCTGGAGACGCTAAACGATATGCTGTTCACGATATCAGTTCTAGCCAAACTTCCTGACTGAGTTTTGGAGGTGTAGACACGCTAAGCTCTAGGTTTCCCCCCTACCCGATTTATTTCTTCTTTCCATTGTAAAAATCGTTCAGCTGTAGCAATCTTTCGGTGCCTAGCTGTTATGCCACCCGAAGGAAGAAATAGGGCTGGGATACTGCCAGGTCGTCCAAGCCTAAACATGCGAAGTCGGGTTCGAACCAGGGACCTTCCGCTCAGTAGATTCGCACCCTAACCACTGAGCCATCTCGCTTCGCTCCCACTTTCCGTTGTAAGGGTTTATTCAAACAAATTGACCGGTTTGTGTGAAGCAGGAAAGCACCAGTGTTCGTGTTGCTCTAAACGATGACGACGATGATTGCCAGATGGCCAAAATAAAGACTTTTATAAACAGTCAACGGTTTTCATGCACTGGCATTGTGTGGACTTTCGAAACGGTCACACGACCAACCGAATGCGGGCCAAGATTGTAAAAACAACCCCCAGTTCTCGACTACGAGGTTACCGAATCCGTTCATCAAACCAGATGATGGCAAACATGTATCGCACATCTGGGTAAGTAAGAATGGCGTCGACAAACAGGCGTAAGGTCACGGATTAGGTCACAAGTAATGCACCACCTGGTGAATTTTCAGCGTTTGCAGAGTAACGGAGGTAACGAAAAAAGGAATGTATCGGAAAGTTGGAGAAAAAATGCTGATTTATCACAGAGGACGACGAGGCGCACGCGAGTAGATTAGCATGTTTACGAGAAAACTGGTCCACATGGGAACACCTTTTTCATCATCATTATCATCATCAGATACAATAACAACGGTGCTGACACTGGCGGTTCACTACCATACAAGCGCGGACTTCATCTAATTATATCTAAAGCCTAAAAATGCACAGAAAAGAGTGGGTGAGGGGATGTGGTGATGGCCTATTGTTGTAACTCGCTGGACGGTAGTGCAACTCTGTATCGATCCCTTGGCTTCCTGCTCTGCCCACTATGGTATATCAAAAGGCACGGTAGCTCCAGACAGCCTTTTGTGGAGACAAAAGGAGAATCATTACATCTGTATTTATAGGGTAATCACAGAGTGTTCCACAAGATCGTGTTAGATTCACCGTGAGGGGCCGAGAAGCGTCGAGTCGAAAATTGGCTGGCATTCTGACCGATCAGAGCATGCCTTCATTTGGTCCGTGTCCTGCGCGTAACACATCCGTCAAATTGACGTGCACTTGGGTCATTAGGGGCGGCTGGCCTCCCTATGTCAAGCATTCTGAGGTGCCTACATCTCCAGGCCTTCAGGCAATCTGGAAAGAAACTGGTAACACGAATACCACTGACATCTGCGTGCAGCCATCTCTTGCAAGGTCTCCAGCCAAGCGCAGAAGGGTTCACGGGGAGGCGTACAACACCAACAACACATGAACTTTTCGTGATCTCTTTCACACCATTCTGTCAAGTCATCAACTGTCCACCTCGCAGGTTGCGCCTTTCTGAAGGACGTACGGAGAACAACACTCGTCTCGGTAGACGAGGTGTTTCCGCATGCGCAGCACATGGCCTAAACCACCGCAGTCGATAGTGCTAGACGTTATTCGCGATTGAAGTACGTGCTGCATACACAAATACCGGTCATTTAATTACCTTGCTATGAATTCCCTGCGTCATCCGACACCAGAAACGCTTGCGGTGATCGAAATCCTGAAGACGCCTCACTTCATCTGTCTCCAGAGGCTGTTTTGCAACCATACAATAAGTAATACAGCCCTTAATGTGGCCTGCTACAAACGGCCCTTGAGACCCGGTGATATGTCATTTTGATGGCACAAGCGACGCCAATTGACAAGCGTGTTCGGGGTTTCGAGGTTCACAGACACACTTTCGTCAGGACTGATATAGCTACCGAGGTATGAAGACTTGTCCACAACCCCCAAAGAATCTCCTTGAATTTTAGGGGCGCACGTTCAGAAGCATGATGAAATTGCGCTTTGAAATGCAAGACGAATGCTGAAAGATGGTGGTCAGTTTGTCCAAAGGTTATCTGCTTCATCTTCAAAGATGAGGACGACATCACCTGCGTGCTCCAGATGTGGCATGAGTTGCACGTGGACTGGGATACTTCCATGGCGTCCAGACATCGAGCGGAAACGTCAAAAGATGTTCCAGCTGTATCACATTTTCGGTGCCTAGCTGCCATGCCAGCCGAAGGAAGCACGAGGTCTGAGACGCTACCACGTTATCCGAGCCTAGACAGGAGCAGTCGAGATGCAGAGGTCGGACAGTATCTCAACCCATCGTGCCAGCTAGGCACCAGAAGCGGAACTATTTGATTTTGATTTCTTAAAAACTCTGGAATGACCCAGTCTGTTCCACAAACTAAACACACTGTTGGTTGAACGAGGAAAGTAGTTCACCGTAAAAAAGGGTGCAATCTTTCGTCTGGTTCATGTTGTCGTGAGCTAACAATCGTTTCCCACTTGGATGGACAGCGACGGAGCTAAGGTAAACAGACCGTGTAGCATTTAGCGTGTTAAGAGTTTGTTATCATTAGTTACAAGACTAATAAGACAGATACAATCAAAATCAACATTTGACTTTGTTTTGATAGATTTTTGTGGGGACGAAAAAACGATTTCCCCTTTTCCACCCATGTGCCTAATTGTAACTGACCGAAAACGGTGATTCCGCTTCACCACTTGGACCAGATTGATGACTTTTGACGTGTACCAAAATCGCAATCCTCAGAGGTTTTGACACAAGAACTGGACGTCAATCCCCCTAGCCATGCAGGTATCAGGTCCAGCTAACCAGGCACTCCGTTAGTTTGCTTAAAATGGGGCACTTTCCAAAAAATTACGGAAACTTCGGTTTTAGCCCATACCTTGGGGAACCAAGAACAACATGTTTCTACGGTAAACGTAAGCTTGGTGTGATCAGAACCAAGTCTGGATTTCTTGATGGAACATACTACTCGTAAGGTTACTGAGAGCTCTTCGACAACCCACGACCGGCGTCGTCCTTTTTGCGGCTCATCAGGCAGTTTCCACCAACTTTATGTTCTACCTGAACACCAAACGGTATGCAGTTGGTGAAACACACTCAATTGTGTCATAACATCTTGATTTTATCCTCGTAATATCAAAGATATCAACATCGGTAAGTAGGTTTTGTGAGAGAGTGGATTCGTTATGAATTTTTGATAGCTCGTGAATAATGAAAGTTCGGAACATCAGTGGGACAAGAATCTCGCCGGTAGAAAGGCCTGGACTGTTCGTATACCAATGCATTATGCATGCGTCGAAAGTCTCTCCAGTTGGTCCATTACTGATTCTGCTCACAATGCGTGAGCAGAAAAATCGTAATGAAGTCATCACTAACACACTGTTTTGTCCCACTGTGCTTTCAGAAAGACGATTCAGACACAGCTGCTTCGCTGCGACCTCCTTACCCATCGCTACGCTCCACCACGCCCCCTAACAACAACGCGCGTTTGCAATCAAATTGCCCAGCTCAGCGAACAAACCAACGACCAGTTTTGAGGATGCAACAAGAAGGATGGGAAATGAATACGAACCGTGTTTTATCTGTCAAGGCAACCGGAAACGATCAAGTGTCGCTTACAGCAGGACTACATTAATCCACGGCAGCCGACGCGCTTTGCTTTTTGCAAAGCATGAGGAACAAGCGTGGGACTTTTTCGTGTGGCTAGAATGGGCTGTAAAGAATGGAACTAAAGCTTTAGCGGGGATGAATACGAGAACCTAGAAGCCACGAGACCTTGGGTAATTCGTTATAAGATGAGGGTCGCTTAGCTGCTCACGGAGGTGTATAGCAGTGCTGGCTGACCACATCATCAAGTCCCGCAACCTTTGTCAGTCCTCTTAATACCTATGAGACCACAGCCGGAAATTGGGCTTGTGAAGTAGCGAGTCATCAACTCCACTTGGTAAATGCAGTCAAATCAGCTGCAGTGGAAAGTGCTGGCTGACCACATCATCAAGTCCCGCAACCTTTGTCAGTCCTCTTAATACCTATGAGACCACAGCCGGAAATTGGGCTCGTGAAGTAGCGAGTCATCAACTCCACTTGGTAAATGCAGTCAAATCACCTGCAGTGGAAAAAAAGAATACAACCCTATTGGCGACGAACCTAGAGCCCGTAAGAGGGTCTTTCCAGCTACCACCGAAGAGAATATGCAGCAAAGCACTCACCCGGAAGGAAAGCTTCTCCTCTCAACTGGTCTGGAATGGTAAAACCACGCTGGAACACCTCTCCGTTGCACGACCAAGCGACAGATCCCTTGTTCAAATCCAACCAGCAGCCGATCACATCTCCTTGCTTTACTGAGACCCCGTAGTCGTGGCCGGTATTCCGGTGCATTGCTCGTCCAGCGCCGTTCGCACCCGATGCACCCACTGCGTCCGCACCGAATCCGAAGCCGCAATTGTCCGTCCCCAACTCCAAACTGGCCTCGTTCGTAGACCAACCAACTCGTACCAGGCCATCCTCTAAGCAGACCGCCTCGAAATAGTACGCACCAGGGGCTTTCACGCCCTTGTTAGCACGACAGCCCTACAGTGGGAGAAAAAACCGTTTTGCAGACTCTTCGTGGAACAAGTAAGAAGCTGTCCAAGAAAGCTCTTCTGGAATATCCCGTTACTATGCCACCGTTTCATTCTGCTTCGAACTCATCCAGTTGAGGTAACCGAATGCATCAGCTAACAGTTCCCGGGTCTGATCACAGCATTTCCACCCAGTAATTATATGTGATAACGGATGATTTTGAGACTGTGTGGGAGCAAGAAACGGCGAAGCAACTGCAGTTATTTTTCCCACGCAGCCAGTAACAAAAAGAAAACCTACCTGCCATCCAGCTCCCCGTTGAGCTGCAACATCCAGTCCATGCGGATCGATCCCCAGACCAGGAGTCCGATCAGCTGGAGAAATGCGCCAGTGCTCTGCCACAAATACAGGTCGGGAAATCACTACCGCAGCTCCCGAATGATGATACTCCACGGCACCGACACCTGGAGTAGCCGCCCCGTGAGGTAGGTGCCTCTGTACGCCTTGTTGTCCGGTATGCCCATTGGTCACGTATTGACCGTCCAAATAGACTGGATTCATCGTGCCCACATCGCCGTCAAACATAGCCGGTTGATACTGATACTGACTGGCTACTACGCCATTTGGATGGCCAGCTGGGTAGAAAGCAGATAGGCAGGGGGTAAGACTCAAGTCAAGCATCGATTTAAGTAGCCATGGGGTGAATTTCCGGCGACGCGGGGGAAAACTTTGACTATTAAGAGCGAACGGAAAAAGTCTTGCAAAACGATGATCAGGAAGCTTTGACTGCAATGGTAAATTTCTCAGTACCTACTGTTCCTGAACATCGAAACAGATGCGGATAAAAGGGAGAAAGATCGGAATGCAGGTCTAGAAAGAGTGAGTGATATCGACTGGAAAATCTTTCGCATGTGACAAAATGTTTCCAAACTATGAAGTCAACTGAAACCTGTTCGTAAGCACTTAGCTAAACTTCTGGTGGTTGACAATGGGAACGCAGAGACGAAAGATGCCATCGGTTGTGATATCGACTTTTTGGTTCACCAACCGATGATCATCTCTTATCGAGGGATCTGCTTTCCTCAATCCGCTAAGGCTGTTATTGGACTGGGACTTCCTAAGGT